CACAAAACACTGTGTTCAGGTGGCCAGGCTCGCTGACGTTGTTGATGCCTGTCGTATCCCAATTGCGTAGATCGATGCCCATGATGTCAATCGTCTGGTCCTGATTCGAGTATTTACAAGGAATATAGCTGATGCGGCTTTAAACAACAAACAAACAAACAAACCATCCTGCTGTAACTACACTTAACATTTCAAAATGCAGTCAAATGGACAGACAGATAGGGGGATGGTGGGGGGGGGGGGGGGGGGGGGGGGGCATATTTACAAACAACTAGTAGGGGCGCTTGGGCACAGACATGGGAGAGGGTTAACATAGAGTGTGGCGGTTAGAAAGCTGTGTGAGTTGTCGGACAGTAAACAGACTGGGTCCCTTCAACAAAGCGATCACGGTAGCGCAACGACAGTCGTAAAGAAGTCTATGTTAAAGTATGGGAATAGCGATCATCTCAGTGCTACGATCGCTTTGCGGGACAGAGTCTGAACAGGGTATTATCTTGTATCACGTGTTATTATACAACGTACCCAATCACCTTATTAGCTAGTTCTAAGAGTACGAATTAATCAGCGAATGTTGAACTTCACACGTTCGCCTGATAACATGGCCCCCAATAATTAGTTCTAAGTTTCCAAGCAGAAAAAAAGACATTTCAATGGCTGAATATTTAATACTTCGTGACCTGCCTTACTTATGCAAGGGACTTCCGGCCTAAGCAAACATCTGGTCGGGTGGAAATAATGTTGTGAAACTAGATTAATTAATATCTTATTAGAATGTGATTGAAGGCCGTAAAACCCTTCTCACTAAAACTCTAAGGGACAATCTTGTACTGTAGTTCAATTTTTTTTAAATGTACGTCTCATGTCGAGGTTTTTTAAAGAGGAAACTATAGTGAGGGAAAAGAGCATTTCATGATATATCCTCTGCAAGAAGGCACTTTCCAAAACGTAATTTATTTAATTTAAAATAAATACTACATGTACATTTTGCAAAACATTTGTGTTCTCATAGGATTGTTTGTTTGTTTGTTTGTTTGTTGTTTAACGCCGCACTCAGCAATTTTCCAGCTACATGACGGCGGTCTGTAAAATAATCGAGTCTGGACCAGACAATCCAGTGATTGACATCATGAGCATCGATCCACGCAGTTGGGATCGATGATATGTATCAACCAAGTAAGCGAGCCTGACCACCCGATCCCGTTAGTCGCCTTTTACGACAAGCATAGTCGCCTTTTACGGCAAGCATGGGTTGCTGAAGACCTATTCTACCCCGGAATCTTCACGGGTCTCTCATAGGATTGATATAATGTACATATATGAATACTTGTGAATTATTTTTATTCATATTAGTAATAATAAATATATTACATATCTAAATATATGGAGATTTTTACATGCGCGTGTGTGTCATACTGATTTTACGAAATGTGTATAACAATTCTTGTATATCCCGAGCGAGGGTAATAGATGAATTCTTACACGACTTCCGTAAAATCAAAACTGACACACATGCGAGTTTAGTACTTTAATTATACCCATGCTTACGTCACAATAAGATTCGAATGACGTCAACAATGACGTACGGATGACGTAAACAATATTATTACCTACGAGGGCAAACATATCGGGGTTCATAAGAATCATATGCGCCCTAGGGTCATACACGTCACGAGACAACAGTGTATTGTTGACGTCATTCGAATTATATTGTGACGCGGGGTTGGAATGACGTTACACTAGAAAAGACGTCATATCTTAAATTGTTTTTACGTCATTCGATAATTGTGGCTTCCTGAAATGACGGTTGTGATCAGTGTTCTTCTAATGGAGAGCTAAAAAAAAGAGTAAGAAATATAATGGTTAGAAATAAAATTATTACACTTGCATGTGTGTCATACTGATTTTACGAAATTCGTGTAAGAATGCATGTATTACACATGTACTACATTATTATTGGCGTCAAAAACTATACATATTATGTCATGATTATACAGCGTGATGTTGGAAATGGAAACCACTTTTTGAAACAATCTTTATGAATTTAATCTGGAAGTTATCAGATCGTTAATAATAAGAATTATGAAGAATTACCCGCGTGCGTGAGTCTGCGTAATTATGTCATGAATAAATAGAACGTAATCACCGGATAGTCGCGATAACAAATGTTCATATCACATTATTCCGCCATTAATTCCTAAACGGTCACTGGGCGAAGGCTTTCGACGACAGCAAGGTGTACAGATACGAAACACGAACGTAGAGGACATCTGCACTCGAGAACCGAGGTGCCGGAGTGCATTAAACGTACTCCGGATGTTTGTTAACTACGGACTTGTCCTGTTGTAAACCTCATCATCAAATATATCGGAGATTAAACGCTCAGATAACACGGGCTTTCTCCCCTGCAAACAAACTTTTTTTGTGGGTGGATGAATTAGGGAGCGGGGTTGGATTCCTTCGACGTATATCATCTGTGTGGTTAATTTGTTGTTTTACGCCGCACTCATTGGCATGACGGTGGCCTGTCAATACCAAAGTCTGGGCCAGACAATCCAGTGATTACTGGTATAAGCACGACCCACGCCGACGGGATACTGTATTGCGCTGTCAACCAAGCTAGTAAGCCTGACCAACCGAGTCATTAAGTCGCTTAGTACTAAAAGGGTGAGTTGTTGGGGTCAAGTTCGCATCCGTCATCCGCACGGGGGGTAATTCATCTTTGCAAAATTATCGAGATTCAGAGAGGCTTCACAAACGGACCAATAGCAGTCAAATTTCTATCTAAATTTAACAAGTAATATCCTTTATACAAAAGTAAATATATGTAATTATGTAGATCATACGAACTGCTTTGTATTTCGGCAAATAGTGGTTAATAAAAGGTTCGTGATTACGTTATACTATATAACGCACGTTATGGTATATTACGTAACCAACAAAAACAAATGGTGATGAAAATATCAACATTAATGATGATGATGATGATTATGATGATGATGATGATGATGATAACAATGATCATGCTCCTGATATTATTATTATTGTTGTTGTTATTGAGATGATGATGACGATGATTATGACGATGAAGATGACACAATAACAATGATCATGCTCCTGTTGCTGCTGATATTATTATTATTGTTGATGATGATGACGATGATTATGGCGATGATGATCGGATGATAATGGTGGTGATGTTTCAGAGCATTTTAAAGTTTTAACTTTGGACGTTATGTGGTAATAGAAGGTCAATGATTACCGAAATGAAAATTAGATAGGTAGCGTAACGATTGTGTATAAAAGTCAACGTCAACATTGTAAACCAAACATATATTAATTTAATCTAAAAAATACGCCATCTGCGCACAATTCGAAATGACTCCGCAAACTTGCTTCTTCAAAGCTTTAACATTTTATAACAAAAAAATTTCACCGCCGTTTCACTATTTGAGAAAATACCGCTCGGTATGAAGTTAATTACAGTGAATAAAATGTATCTCTGAAATACTATTTCACTCTTCATGATATATTTGAAAATGAAGTTATACAATCAAGATGTTAATATTTTTCAAAGCATGCATGTAATTTGACATTATAAAACAAACAAACTGACAACAGGCTGGCATCTTGCACCACTAGCCGCTCATTAATATATGCTTGGAACAAATCTGTTGTCTTCTACAACAAATACATCTTTATACATGAACAAACTTGCCTAATAAACACGACACGAAGAATATGGCGGCTTAAAGTGTAATGCTGCTTGTTGAAAACGAATTAACGTGACGATCTGCAGAGCGAGCGGGTTTGTGGCATGTACCCCATGTTTAATCAAACTTGTTGGTCATATTTATTCCCTGTACGCTAGCATAAACATGGCACTCTTCTGATAATGAATCGCGAGGCCTACACAATAATATGGCGTCGACTCATTTTCTTGAGAAAAATAAGGTCCGGGTGAAACGACGTTATGTCATTCCAGACAGAAAAAAGTCGACATGTTGACACGATGATATTATCATAAATCATGAGACACGGCTTTAAACATATTGTGTTTAGGATTTTTTAGATTTCCTACACTAGTGTCCAAATAAGTGAGGTTTATTGTTGTCCTTACTTTCACTGGGGTCATAAATACATGGTATGGGCACAGTCGCTGCCACAACGCCCGTGAAGAGCTGGTAATCACCAGGTGTGCTGAGGATAGCCAAACAGTTTTATCTACATAAACACCGACAGACAAGCTGCGACACGAGCGGACCTGTTTTGAAATACAAAATCTACACCGTGCGTTGTTCGCGAATGTACACGAGGGACGTTAGAGATGCACTAAATATTGCCAAAGACGTGTCAACTGCCACGCGAGATTTCATAGTCAAATGAGGAGTTGATCAATGTTCGCCCTCGATTAGCAAACCTCTACAGGGCCCCCGATTTGAATAAATGCCAGGCATATCGTCACGGGAAATGTTACGTAACGTGCAATCCACTGCATGCAAATAGCGGTCATATATGCTCTATGCGAATTCATAGAGTGTGTATCAGGTCAGTTCGAGACGAGAGATGTAGCTGTGTCTAGATGGCGCATTTGGGACGATAGGCGATCCAAATGCTTAAAAATTCAATTTATTTCTCACTTTATGTCGCAGTGGCCGTGTTTTTCACTTGACCTACATATCAGCCGGCAAGGTTCCAATTATAGATGATATTTTCCTTAAGAAATATCTTTGATACATGATTAATTATCCTTTGAATTCTCAAACACGGCTTTCGATTTTAGTTTCCTTGATAAACAGAAATAAATATACCATAATATTAATTAATTCGTTGGAAAATGCTCAATATTTAAGTACATATGTCAAATAATGTAGATGTATTCACATTTATGTGTTATTGGTTGTTTGCTACTAGCATAATCCCTACCCATAATGTCTCATGAAACGACTGATTTGATTGGCTGAAGGTTGATTGACGAATGAAATTGGGGTAACTCCGCCTCTCTAGTGTTGGAAGATGGCGCCTCCCTCTATCTTCCTCTGGCAGCCCAGTGATTTGATGGATATCTGAGTGGAACAGGGTGAGCCAACTTTTAACCGTATCTACCTCGTAAGTTGCTATGTGTGCTGGAGATTCTAAATCTCTAGTACCTCAGGGACGTGAACAGAACCGCCATGTTGAGAGAGCCCGATATAAGGCGATGTGATCAGAGAGCAGTTACGATGTGAAATTCGTGAGGCCCACGGTTTAACCAGAAACACGGGTGACGTACTTCTACCTCATGCTTCGCTCATGGCCGCTGCATTTTCCGACTCGTTCGGTGAGCAGCTGTCCTGTCCCCTATGTTTGAGCAGATTCGACGATCCACGAGTGTTACCATGTCTCCATACATTTTGCAAAAAGTGTTTGGAGACAGAGCTACGCGATTCCGGGGGAGGGGGTGGGGGTGGCCTCGGCATCAACTTCGGTTGCCCCACTTGCCAACAAATGGTTTCCCTAAACTCAGCCGGTCTGGAAAGTCTCCCCTCCAACTTCTTCATCAACAACATCATCGATGTGATGGTATCCCACGAGGACGAGTTCGAAAATGGCGAGCAAGAGAGGGACAGGGGGCTGACAAGATGGTGCAGCTCATGTGATGAGGGAAGCCAAGCTTCATCTTTGTGCAAGAATTGTAATGAGTATTTATGTGATAATTGTGTCAAAGCTCACCAGCGTGTAAGGCTGACTAAAGATCATTACATTGAAAGACTGCCGAAGATGAGATACTCGCCACCCTCTCTCTCCCACCCTGATCCGTCACCCACCCATTTTTCTGATAGTAGTCGGTCCCTTACGAGTTGTGATAGCCATGAACATGAAGTATTACGACTGTTCTGTGACACATGTGCCCTAGCCATATGTAGGGAATGTACCATGTCAGAGCACATGGGTCACAGTTTTATCTACCTCCAGGATGCTATTGATAATTCCAAGACAATCACACTGAAACTTTTGGCCGATGCCAAAGCAGGGATCAAAGCATTAGAAGAAAGCATCCACTTAACCCAGGGAATGGCAGAACGAGTTGAGGTTCGTGCACAAGCAGTAGCAACAGAGGTAAGAGCAACAACACGTAGACATATGACCGCTTTGGAAGAGAGGGAGAGGGAATTACTGCGACGGGTAGAGAAAATACGCCAAGTCAAAGCCAAATCACTTCATTTACAAGTCGATGATTTGAAACATGGACTTTCATCACTCAGTCAAACTGTAGATGAAGTTGAAGTCCTACTGAATACGGGTACTGACATTGACATTTTGAAAACGAAGGATCGTATGGTCTCTGAAATACAGAACATGCGGCGTCTCAGGGGCCATATGCAGCCACATGAAGATGATAACATTCTATTTACTCCCCCAGATGCAGCCTTGTACAATGCCATCAGTAAAATGGGCTTTATTAGTAGCAGTGCTTATGCACCTAATTCCTGTGCAACCGGCGATGGCTTGAAAAGAGCTTTAAAAGGAAAACTAGCTTTGTTCATGGTTCACACCAAAGATCACCACGGAGAGGGGCGTGTGATGGGAGGCGACCCACTGGAAATCATCATTCAAAGTCCAGAGGGAGCTCTGTATCGAACAGAGGTCATTGATAGGCAAAACGGTTCCTATGCTGTCACATATCGCCCACAAACAGAAGGGCAGCATATCATCTCTGTCACAATCCGGGGTAAGCATATCAGAGAGAGTCCCTTCACCGTCAACGTGAGAAGCGGGCGCAACTATGCGGCAATCGGACGTGGCATATTCCAGTTCGGTGGTGAAGGGGACGGAGATGGGAAACTGTGTCGCCCTTGGGGCGTGTGCTGTGACAGGGATGGTTATGTTATTGTTGCAGACCGCAGCAACAACAGAGTGCAGGTGTTCAGCCCGGACGGAGCATTCCACCACAAGTTCGGATCCCCTGGCTCCAGAAACGGCCAGTTTGACCGCCCAGCGGGCGTCTGCGTAGACCTTCAAGGACGTATAATCGTTGCAGATAAGGACAACCATCGTGTGCAGCTTTTCACGTTTGAAGGCAATTTCGTGTTGAAGTTCGGAGAAAAGGGAAATAAAAACGGACAGTTCAACTATCCCTGGGACGTGGCAGTCAATTCTGATGGTAAAATACTGGTGTCTGACACACGCAACCACCGCGTTCAGTTGTTCACCCCCGATGGCCAGTACCTGAACAAGTATGGTTTTGAGGGCCCACTCTGGAAGCACTTCGATTCACCACGTGGCGTATGTTTCAATAATGATGGACACATCGTTGTGACAGATTTCAACAACCATCGTCTACTCGTCATCCACTCTGATTTCCAGTCGGCACGCTTCCTCGGGACAGAGGGCAGTGGCAATGGACAGTTCCTACGTCCACAAGGTGTCGCTGTCGATCAGGAAGGAAACATCATCGTGGCAGATTCAAGGAATCACCGAATCCAAGTGTTCCAACCCAACGGCAACTTCCTGTGCAAGTATGGCACCCAGGGCGCTGGACCTGGCCAAATGGATCGGCCGTCAGGTCTGTGTGTCTCCCCAGACGGGTATGTGATTGTTGTGGACTTTGGGAATAACCGTGTAGAAGTTTTTTGAGGGCTTCACAGTGAAAGACCGTGAGGGTCAAGCCCTTGCAGTGTCATCTGCATCCACTTGTGCTCAGGCATGCTTCTCAGGTGACTTAATTGTGAAGCCAAAGGCATCGTCAGCTCAGGGATTTTCTATATATACTTAGTTACAGAGTACCTGCCATTGTGCTTATATGATTTTGTCAGCTTTACCCAACATATTTGTGTAGGGCAAATTGTCAGTTCTTTATACGAATCTTCCCCCGTTACTCCATATCATGAAGTATGGACCTTTAGTTCAGATAATAAAATTTTACAATAGTTTCATCAAATGATGAAATTCATTCAGGCAAAAATGTGTTGGGTAGATTTGATAAGTGAGTTATATTTATTAGCTAAAGATTGTTTGCTATGTGTTTTCAGATGCCTTCTCAGCATCTAAGTGTCACAATGTGACTTTAATTCCTTCAATGTCTTTATTTTATAAGACATAAATATCGCCTGTTAATGTTTTGCATATAGAGATGTATGCTGAGCCAGTGTGTCCGCTCAGCTTAAAGCCATCAAAGTATAACCGTTACTCTGAACTGACCGTCATTCCCTGGCCGAAAGTCTAGATTGTGCAAGACTGTTTAAATGTCTGTTTAGCGCAAACCAGTCTACCTCTCGCTGTGTCACTGTTAGCTCTAAGCAATAGGCAGTGCCAATGACAGGATCCTCCAATAAATATCAATTTCTGATCTCACATCTCGGGCAGCGCAGGTCTGTGCTCACATCGAGCATTTTTATTATACGATATGAGTTGCGGGATGATTTGAGGATAAGACAAGATAAATTAGTCCTTATTAATATTTGTCTTGTATCAGCAAAACATGAATGTATTCAAGCTCCATCTAATCACAGCTTTACCAACAGCCTCTTAAATCTGCATTCAAAATCAACTCTCTGGAGTTACCTCCCTTTACTAACAACCTAGGGGTTTTTCATTATCCACTTAGCTTCAAGTAGCCAATGTATTGAAAAATCCATTCATTCCCTTTTATAACTTCTATTAGTGAAGAGACCAAAATAAGTGCAATGTCAACTTTTTTGAACATTTTTTCCGCAGATCAGTTCAAAATGACATGAAAACATGAAAATCTTTTTCGTCATTTTTATTTTATGGATTTTTTTAAAAAAATGTATAAGAGATGCAAGTGAGTAAAAGGATAATTGATGCCAATTCTGGGTATTACAGTTTAACTGTCAAACATTTACTCTTGCTAGGTTGGGTCTTGCACAATGTTGACAGTGCCGTCAATAGTAGATGCTCATTCTCCAGGTCAACCAAGCCAAAATAAGCGCTAAAGTGTTTATTTTGGTACTACCTCATGTCAGTCTGTGTTACTATGGTTATAGACTACAGAATTCAGTCTGTAATGCGGCACTTGCAGAGATACTGTATCTTCTTACTTTCATTTTTGGTAAGGTATGAAAATTGCTATTATTTACGAGAGCACTGTAGTTATTTCAAATAATGAAGACGTGCAGTCATTGATGTGAATTTTCAATTAATGCAGATTTTTTGCCTTGGAAATGTTTTGGTGTGGTTTGGAAGCATATTGTAACCATGGTTTCAAATTTTTGGATGGTACCTCTCTCCTCAATGAGGAATATTTCATGTGTTCTGGTCTCTGACCATTGTGACATTTAATGCTCTGTTCAATCAAGTTAAGCAACATGCTGCATTCATCGGTTTCAATACTTAATCAAAATACTTAAAAACAAACAGTGAAACATACATGATAATTTTCAAGTGAACATTTGCATGTGTTTCAATATACATTAATCTGAAATGTAAATTTGTGGATAAAAGTTATGTATTGTAAATAATTGACATTAAAAATTCTGATTGTAAAATTTTTTTTTACTTTGGAAAATATAGGGGAATTTATACAGCAGATTTGGTATGTAGCAAGATCAGATATTCAATATATGTTTTGGCTGTTTTGTTAAATCGTCTTTAAAGTTTCAAACATGAGTAAATAAGTAGAATACGTTGTAATTCACCTCTTTATGCTGTCCATGTTGGCTGGGGATTTCAAATTCAGAATGGTCACTTTGTGGTCAGTTATGAAGTCACTTGCAGGATGAAGTTTTTGTCAGAGATATTCAAGATTGGAATCTGGTCTTTCATGAACTGATTTGTGATAAGGAGAGGTACATTGAATTTGAATGAAGACTTAGACCCCAAAATGCTATGAGTGGGGATTTTTCTAGACCTGCTCGGAGGCTAGTATGTGGTCCCTAGAAAGCAGCAAATTTGAAAATTACCAAATTAGAGTTTTATCTAACGTGATGGCTTGGTCGGGTCAACTTATCTTTCACTGATATCAGATAAGGACAGATAGGGTAACTTTTATGCACTGTTTTCCATTGTTGTGTGTTATGTTAGGAGACCTGAATTTAAGAAGGGCGACTATGCTTGTTGAAAGAGGCTCGCTGACTTGGTTGGTGCATGTCATTGTATCCGAATTGCGTGGATTGATGCTTATGATCATGCTTATGACTCGGTTATTTACAGACCGCTGTCATATAGCTGGAATATTGCTGCGTGTAACAACAAACAAAAAATTTAAGAAAATAGTATCTTTACAGAAAGTGAAATAAAAACACTCTCTTTTCCAGTTTACTTGCCAAGAGCTCTCAGTTTGGAATCCTAGATAAATCCCTTGAGACAAAAAATACCCAAATCCTTTTGCATGATCTTCAGTCATACTTTGCAAAATTTATTGATTTACTGATAGTGGAAAGTATTTGTAATTTATGAGAAATAGTGTGTTTAGAATGTATATTTCACTAAAGAAATTTGGTTTAAAGTTCAGTTCTTATATTTAAAGTAATTTCAACAGCTTTATGATGTTTTAACCTTCGCATGTGAAGAACCTTTGGTAAATCACTATTTCTTTTTGGAATAATTTAATTCAAAGCAATAAAACTATAATTGCTGGAGTTCATATAGTTTTGTTCACACATTTATGGCATCACAATGATCTATTTTTTACCGTATTAAATGATTGACTCGTTAATTTCAAAAGTGATAGGCCTGTCAAGTTAGCATTTGAATATTTTCGTCTCAAAAAGCCTGACCTGTCATTTTCTGTTATGAAATCACCCCCTCTCTCAGGCGCTCTGGAAACAATTCAATCCAAATTTTCAAACTTCAATATGGTTTTATTTCAGTCATTAAGTTGTTTGACTTTCAACAATCTGATTCTTCAACCCGATCATCTGGGAATTGTCTCCTAACCTAGCAAAGAACACAAACATTAATATCCCCAGTTAGCATTCAAGGCTCATTTGCCACCATCTTGGGATCTGAGACCTCTGACAAGGATGAAGGATGGAGAACAACCTGCCTTTGATCTAGCCAGCTTGAGAAAGACCATTTGTTACATCACTTTATCTAAGCGGCCCTAATTGAGTTTGAGATGGCTGCAGTTTGATTTAATTAGGGACCTCTCCTTTCTTTCTTGACATTCAATTGAAGTGTCATTTGAGGCCCTGGGCAGCTGTGTACCTTATGTAACAGGGTAATAACGTATTTGGATGGAGTCCTTGTTTTCTCTTTATGGGCCCTTGGTGGAAGGATGCACGACCAAGCCATCAGTCTTAACTACAGGATTAAAGGCAATATATTCCTTTGTATGCCCCTGTATGTGGGTTGAAATCCCTGATTAAAGGCTTCTAATGTTAGTCTCACTTGTTTGGTCTCGGTTTTATTCATTAGAATTCCAAACGCGGAATTTTGTCAGCTTTTGTTTTTTCCGGCCAATCTATTTCATTTTTGGAATATTTTTTTGTCAGTTGTAAATGTAGGTGTTGAATTACAAAAGTTTTTGTTGTTGTTTTTTTTTTTAACAATTCTTGACATGCATGATATTGGTTTGCATTAAGGATTAGATTTGTTGATTGTACAGAGCGTTAAATGTCATAGTGGAGGAACGCTGTTAATGACAAAACAAATATACCTCATTATCGTGTGGCATTTCATGTTTGCATTATAAACAACCAATGTGTACAGCTTATATGTGTGTTGTGCGTGGACGCAGTGCTTGGTAAATTTTGATACACTATATACTTGACTAGCCTTGAGAAGGCATAAACTGGAGTTATTTTCACACACTATTTATACCTGTGAAATGGGTCATGTTGACGCTAGTCGAACTGGTAAATACCGTCACTGCTTGTTGATGTTGATAAATTAGAACGTTGACTTGTACATCTGCGCACTGTGATTCAACATTGCTAAAATTTCATGGGGGAGAGATGTTAAGAAGCTTCTTTTTAAAAAAAAAATATTTAAAAAAAATATCTGTAGACTTTATGTTATGATTTCATGTAAATTATAAATGACTACCTCAGTTACAAGTTGATATTTATCGTTTAGTGAAGCTTTCATCTGCCTTGCACCCAGTCTCATATCGAATACTGCTTTAGCCCCAATGCTGTGTTTGTTAAGAACAAACTAGCTTGTGTACATATTGTATGCTTCCTCGTGTATGGACTATAGACTTAACTGATATTGTTCCTGTATCCATTAGCTCATTCTTTCAGAAAGTCGGAAGGCGATATCAGCTTGTTATTATTGGTAAATCTATGTTGAAACATGTGTAACATGTGAAACATGTCAAATTGAAAACCATGAGTTTTAATCAAGATTGCTACACTGGTACCTCAAGACTTTGGCACTGCCATCTCGATAGCAGAACTTTTGTATATAGATATTGTAGCTTTTTGCATTGTGTAGGTAGGTCCGAAAAAAACTAACTGTTGCGGGTATATGCTTTGATAAGACCGATTTCATATATAGGGTTTCCTTCACCGGAATGCAGATTTTGCGCTTTATATATTTGGCTTTTGCCTCATGACCATTTCTACCTCAACTAACTGAAGGGATGGGGTGGATGGGAGGTGGGGATGGGGTGAGTTTGAGGGGGTGGGTCATAGACCGCTGTTAGCATAGTGCCAGTTGGCCAGCGCTGTCCCTATGCAAGTGTATTGTTTAGCTTTCTCGGGCTCTGGGTTTGGGCGAGAGGGGTTGCTCTGTACCCTGTACAGCCGTCTGTTTTGTTGAGTGTCGGGATTGTGAGCCCACGTTTTGTGCATATATGTTAATGTAGATTAGGATTTTCTGTGTTCTGCAGAGGCTGTGCTGATCTCAAAGAGAGAGAATTTGGTTATTGTTGACCTTGTTACCATGGTTACCTCAATTACTTGACCTTGTTGCTATGGTTACCTCAACTTTTGCATCTGAAGTCCTGAAAGGCATACTTCAAGTGAATGGCATTTGTTGACTGTGACCTTGAATACCTCAAAGGTGTGTCTCTTCACTTTTCGATATTAGGTATAGCCTCCACCATATTTAGCCAGTGTGCCAGTCTTTCTTGGCGTCAGATGTTTTGAACGAGTCGTTACATATACTTTTGCATTCATCGGTTGATTGGCAAAAAGAAAAAGTAATTTGATATTTGATATCCTCAGACCCTTTTTTTTGTTGTAATTTTTAAAAAAAACTTTTCTCAAGTTCTGCCTATAAGCAAATTAGTGTTAAATATGTTACTGGAACGTTCACCGTAGAGACAATAAGGGGAGCATCTCCTGTCTTTATTGCACCAATCTACCTTCAAGAACCAGCAAGTAATGGCGCGAACACTGTGTCATTGTTTCTATATATGCTGACTGCTTTTGTTAACCTGCCATTGATGTGATGACTGTTACAGCATGGTGCCTCCTAACGTGGCTCAATATTTCATAATACTTTATCAAGGATCTGCTACCTCTTTGTCAGCCAGTAACGGGCTTTCCTTGTACGTGTTTGGATTTCGCTACTCAGGATAGTCCTAACTCCTATACTCAAGTCAGATGATGTACCTCTGTGTTGCTTGGCAACGTGCTCCTGTATCTTCACGTCCCAGCCTCGTCTTATCACGGATTGGTTTGTCACTAGCATCTGTGGTCAGGGTTTCTATGTGTTGTGCTATTTCTCCTTTAGTGCGTGTACAGGTTTCACATTGGAGTTGGGCATTGGTGTATGAAGTGTTGGTTTCATTACACATCCGATTTGAAATTCACGTTTGAAAAGTAAAACCATTTTTCTGCAGTATGGTTATGTGTGATGAAAACCAACATTTAATGTGTCATTGACCTGAAAGAAAAATTTCTTGTATTTTAGAGATTTAGAGATAGATGTCACGGTGTTATCATTATTAGTGAGTTATTTCAAGATGTTCAAGGTTATATTTATGGCAACTTCTTGTTGTGCAAATGCACACAACCCAAACTGTGTCACCTTGACACTACGACACAGAATAACTTATTGATAAGTGGCTTACAAACTGTCAGCAGACTGTGGCTTGATATTTGTCTTGTTTTCACTCCATTTAGTCCATGCTTTGGAACTTCGAAATGAGATTTCCCTTCCAAAATAAGTGGTTACAGCATTATTATATTGCCATTTGGTGGACAGTTTGTATGCATCCGCATTGATTTGTCTGTGAATTAAGTGTCGAATAATTCCATGACAACCATCATCTTTGTTGCCATGGTAACTGTCTATATTATGTAATCACAGAATGGCTCTGTGCATTGTCAAATGGCAAGTCTTGAAAAATTGATAATGCAATTTTCTTACATCGAATTACATTGTTAGACCACTAATTCTAATGGCAATCTTGTTGTTAGGCCTCTTGTTAAGTTTCCCAGTAAGTTGTCTGACTGCTTCATGACAGAGGCATAACCTGCTCACAGGCAGCTAAAATGGCAGGGCCATGTTTTAAACATGGCCGATGCCAGGGCAGGATACTTGTAGAAGAAAGACAACATACATACTCCCTTAATGGGTAATATAATAGCGCTATCATCTCACTACACAAACCGTATTATCAAATATTTCTCTTTGATGCCATCATTCGAGTAGGAGGGAGTGTTTCCACATAGTTCATTGTCAGTTTGACATGTCAGAATTTTTCTCACTATGACTATGAGAAGAATATGGATGAACGGCCAGTGTAGCTTACAAGGGAATGTGGTTTAAGAATGCTCTTCATTGATTTGTTTGACTCCCATATGTTTGACACCCATATGTTTGACTCCCCACATGTTTGACTGTTAAATAGACAGTGGAACCCTGTTAGTCCAGCCATTGTTAGTCCAGGAATATAAACTTTATGATGAACTGTTGTTCGTAGCCTATGAGCAATCACTGCTCTGTTGAAATTATGAACCAAAGTCAAGGGTGATTTTGGGACCTTAATGATATTATTGATTTAGGTGGTCCCTTGATTCAAACATCAAGTACCCCTCAGTGTCCTGGACAGTCTGGATTATCAAGGTCCCACTTTAGTTGTCTAGATCGTTGTGACATCACTACCATCACGTTGGACTGTAAACTGTTTTTCACACACCTGGCAGCATATGTGAACAGTATGTGTCTTTGTTTCCAAAGCTTATTATTCAATATGTAATTCTGTCTGATCATTTTTGCCATATTGGTCATGTAGAACACTTCATTTTGGTGTGGAGTTTTCGACCACCAAGCTCATTCACTACACTTGTCTGATACCGAGCAGTAGGTCACGGCCAACAAAGGAGGGTGCCTTTAGGAGACGATCAGGACATTGCCAATCTTAAATAGTGAATGAGGGTCACTGACGTGGCTTTGTGAGGCTGGACAAGGAATAGCCATTTCCTTTCAGCCAGCTTTTGTCAATGAATAGCCGAGCAAAACCAGTGAAGCATATTAGCTGGGAAATACCAGTGAAAATTCGTAGCTTAAGAAATGTAACAGCATTTTGGAATTATGTTAAATGATCCTCGAGCTATTTCCGAATGTTTCAGCATTGATGTGGAGATCTCCATTGATCAGTATTAAAGCGTTTGTTTTTATCCCTTCGCTTGTGGTTCTGCTGACCGTAAAGTTTGCAAATGTGGAATAAAAAATTAATTTTATTTGTTTTTATTCCCTGTGTGTTGAAACAAAAAATCTTGTCATGGGTAGGGGCTCGTCTTGGTGGCAAAATGGCATTGAGACAGTATGTCTGTAATAATTACCTTTGTTTACTGTTTCTTGAATGATGTTATAGTTGTAAAATTGGTTGTGTAATCTATCTTTTTTAACCTACCATCTACGATAGAAACTAAGATTTTTAGTCCTCTAGTTTATATAATGATGACATATAGCAAAACCCTTAAAAATGGCACATTTCTTCTATTACTTATGATACCTTAACTATTGGGCAGTTTGGCAAGGACTACGGGACTAGAGCCAATTTCTAATTCTGAACTATACTATTTAGTAATCACCATAAAAATAATTGTTTTGTTATTTATTTATTTTTATTTTTTTAAGCGCTAACCTATCATGCCTGTGTTTTGAGAGAGAAGCCTGGGAACCAAGGAATAAGAATTAAGAGCTAAAAATTGAATTCAGAACAAGTTTCTAAACCATAGGGTTATTCCTACATTAAGGTGCCATTTTAAATTTGCATAATGCCATGTGTTACTTATTTGTACATTTATTAGGCAGATATGTGATCAGTACTAAGTATTATTTCAAACAGTACTAAAATATCCTGAAGTCCCGAAGGCACTCTCCTTTGAAGCCCTGTCCATCACGCTGATACAAACAGACAGAATGTAGCAGCACATCCACCACAGGTTTGTGTACTCTGTTCTCCATCTTCCATAGATTCGTGAAGCTGATGTAGCAGTAACTGTCTAGTTTTATTAAATGAGGCTATGTGCCCTAAAGAAGCCTTCAGAATTCAGGCTAGTCGGCTTGGTTGAGACTACTGAATTGTGCTGGGGAAAAGTCAAAATCCATGATGGTAGCTCTCATTGATTAGTAGCAATTCAGGCCGGTCATTCTGAACGAGTTCGCTATGATTCAGTTTTACTACAAATGAACTGAATAGAACTGACAAATGTAACAGTTAACATTTTTGTCTCGTTCAAGCAGGACTAGCTACAAACTCAGAGGGCTATGGTTTACACTAGTCTTAAAAAAAAAAATAAGGTTGCACAAAACTTTGGCACATGTTGTGTGGAAAATAGTACTGATCTAATCTGAGCAGTCATTGGTCAGAATATTGGTTTACCTCTCACAGAAAACCAGGCTGTGACCTGAATTGATGGTTATGAATAGAAAACTGCAAATGCATGAATTCATGGTTGATATACGAACATTGTGTACGAACCTGTGAGGTATTGACGATTGTGCTGTCGTCTTTTAGTCCTCTGTCACGCCTCAATTTGTGTCATTATGTCAGATTTGTTTTCTCGGATCAGTCAACTACGAGTTGACTTATTTTAAATACAACATCTGATGTTAAAAGAATTCAAGTAAAAAGGACCTTCGTCTTTACTGATTATGTACCAGATGTTGATTATTGTTTGAAACTTTAAGGCCATAATTTGATTTATTTGGATTAGGGACTGACTACAGGTTGTTGAAGTGTTAAAGGGAAAAGTATCTTTATCCGAAACTAGCTTCTTTTATTATATAAACACTTCTACAGAAGCAAAAAGCTACTTTTTTTCAATTTGGCATCATGTTTTAATTTCTATATGGACTTTATTATAGACCTTATTTTGAAGCTGGTATTGTATTTTTAATTAAAAGATAACTGATGCTGGTACATAAGTAGTTTTTTTAAAATTATCTCTGAAATTTGTATATCATGCAAAGACATGCATATTGAATTTCATGTTAACAAAACGTGTCATTTTCTCAAGCTATTGCCTTTGGGCTAAAATATCTGTAATCCAAGTTATGGCCTTATGTGATTAGAACCAATTGTAAATATTGAAGTGAAATCAATTAATTTATGTAAATTTACATGAATGGTACATGTTTGAGGTGATCATGGAAAATAATAAGATTAATATTGAGTTGATTATTACTATGATCATATATTGTGCATTGCTTTAATCACACGTTTGTAAATGTTCACGGTGAATAACAGCTTTCAACTCTGGAACTGCGCTAACTTGCTGTCAACGATCCTTGACACATCTGTGTGAAGCATCTGTTCCCATATCTTGTTAATCAATACAGTTTTTGTACCCTTTTTGAATTAGATATCTTGTATATTTTTTGTCCTATTTGCTGTTTTATTGTGACCTTATCACGTCTTTGATACCTCTGTAGTTTTCAATGTGTACAACTTGTTAAAGGTTTTTTTATGGCCAGTATAAATACGTATTTACTCCTTCTTTGACATGTGTAGCAACCAGCTTGAATCCACACTGGCATAGATATATCTTAGCTTTTATGTGCTCAGTTGGTAAAAAAACCCGTTGTTTACTAGCCATTTGGCCTAGCCATTTATCATACACCTCGACCAAGTATACTGATTGGAATTTTCGGTATTGTTTGGTTATAGGTTCCTTGTTCAGTCCGCGGCAGCAAGTTTGTGAATCATTGGCCCTTCAGAGAAAAAAAGGCTTTAAGCTGTTTTCTCTCTAAATTTTAGCAAGTGCTTTCAATATTGCCAATTTTTTTTCGGTTAAAAACTTTACAGTATGAAACTTGCTCTTGAGCAACAGATATGTTTGGAAACATACTTGCTAGATACATATATATTTGGTCAAACCATCATTTAAGCACTGCCTTTGATGTATATTCATGGCTAGTGTCCAGTGTTTAAAATATTCTATTTATCAACGGTTATTGTGTTGATTGTTGCTCCAATGTTGAAATTGGGCCCGACCTCTGTCTGAGGGGTAGGAGGTCATTGAAGGGCTGAAACCAAACACAGACCTCATGATACGAACCAGGATACTATTTTGCAGTGGATTGAGAGCATGTGTCCAAAACATCTTTATCAAATGTACATATGATTTTGAGCCCACTTTGTCGTTAGACAGAAGAAAGACTTTCATGATGAGGTCAAAATGTCAAACCAGCACCAAAAGGGCCAAAATCCAAAAGCCAGTACCAAATGTTGACTGTCATGTCCAGATAGAGAATGAAATCATGCATACAAATCATGCATACAAATCATGCATACTTCACGATTGAAATCATGATGCGTAAGTGTTTCCTTTCAGCCTTCGACACCTGTGTGCAATCTTTAGTTAACCATGGACTCATTGTTTGCAGAGAACTTCTCAAGTGAATATGAGCATGCAGCACCTTTCATATGATGATTATGATTTAGGACTAAATACATGTCTTATTTTGAATTGATAAAACAAGAATCCAACCAATTCTTCATACTCTTTCATACATATGTATGTTAAATATTTTCCTGGCTCAAGTATTAATATTTGTACTACTTTTACAAAATACTATCAACATTTGGGACAAGATTTTTTTATTATTTGTTTCTGAGCATATGTTTCAACTGCTGATATTCATTCAGAAATAAAGTACCGTATTCGTCGTAATAAGTGACCTGTTCGCTTTGAAAATTGACATGGGGTGCTTATTAAAAAGCATACACAATAGGTTAAATCTGTTATTAGAGATTAAGCAGTAGTGAACAATCTTAGATGAAACTTAAGCTTTAATAATATTTACAAGGCAATTATGAACCTTTTCCGTGCTGCAGATATCCATAATATTAAATCTGTTATGTAAAGGTTTTTGTAGTGGGTGCCTGTCAAGATTACTTAGAGATTGGTCAAGAATTTGGACATGGGTCGCCTACTTATTGGAACAGGGTGGTTAATGAGGCGAATACGGTACCTGTAGATGTTTCCTGAAGAAGATTGTTTAGACAGAGGGAGGGTGTGTGACATGTGGTCCGCCCGGTGTGCTGAAATCAAGGCCGTTAATGGAATGGAAATCGGTGATGTAGTCACCTTTTTTCTGCTGTGGGAACACAGGCTAGGAAGACCACAATTTATGAAGAATGTTTTCACATATTGTCATAATTTGTCCGGTACTGTTGCTGGCAAAATCTCGAGTGATTTAGTGGTGATTTGCAAAAAAAATGGTGATTGCAAGCTTGTGTGGTGTATTTGTACAGCTATACGGAAAGGATTTTAAAGATGGAGAGTTTTGTATCCCTTTCCACCAATCTCTTTGACAGAAGAATGATGTCACTTGATTGTCTCTGTGTGTTACTGATTCATGTTTGTTCATTTTTTCAAAATATGAAATTTTGATTTCTTTGATCCCAATTCCAATTCATTCTACAACCCAGTTCATTTGACTGATTCAAATGAAAGTCAAAGTAATTTCAAAATATTTATCAGAATGAACATGATTAACAAGAATTAGCATTTTGAATTAAATGGTTCTCACTTAATGTTTTCATATTGTATATTACAACGGGTATTACATCGTGTAGAAAAACAAATTGATAAACATTATCGCAAATAGTTTATCCCAAACTAATCTAGAGTTATCCCCCTTTGTTGAAGGGAGGAGAATTTCACACTGATAATTGTATTCAAATGGTGTAAATTCACCCAATATTCTATGTTTAATGAGATGGGGTTTTAGTGTTATGATGCTCCATTTGCATGAAAGATATATAGTAACATGTAGGACTTGCCAAGTATGATAACTCTTTTCCTGTTTTGTTTATGTAGTCCAATATTGTAGACGTGTTACTTTGATTTGATGATGAATCACTTATGCATCTACAGGAGAGAAAATATTGAAAATATTTCAGAGCCTAGAAGTGAATCATTGTCTAATACTTGAAAACTTGTTTGTACACAATGTCGTGTGTTGTGTGATTGACATGTGTCACAAATGACTGATTAGATATTTGTTTATTTTTCACCTCACCATTTGTAATTTATTCAGCTTTGATTAAATTGCTATGTCATATGCGCTTCTGTATAACATTGTTATTGGTGGAGCCACATTTGATAGACTTACTGAAATATTGGTTTTTGATTGTTTTTTGCCATGAATATGAATAGTGGTTATTTATTAATCATTATTGTTTATTTTAAATTTTGTTTTTGGGATGTATTTATAAGCAAATAGAAAAGGACAAATTCATATCTTTTTAAGAAATCATTTATAATTGCTTTTTTTTAATTAAGGATTAGATTTGGCATAAATTTTCATAATTCAAGGGGTGCACGGGTGGCCATGTCTAAGGCGCCGCAATTTGCTGTGCAGAGTTGCGTCCCTTAGGCATGCCAGGAACCTATGACCATTTGTTTGAATCCCAGGATTGTTAGGACAATATCCATGTGTGTGTGGTTTTGACCAAAGTGGTAAACGTCTAAGACCTGCATCACTTCAGGCTTTCCTCCCACATGAGGCTGACACACTGTGACTTAACCGTTTCTACTGTTCAAAGCAGTGTCTAATAAAACACACTCAAATAATTTTAATAAGTCATATTAATATTTTTTCCATGTTGATATTTTTTTCAAATATTAGACAGAAAACAGCTTGAGAATTTATTTGAAATCTGTTCAATTGATGGCAAGATAGGAAATAAACTAATGTTGACACGGAATAGGAATATTTCAGTAAGCCTACCCAAAGCTGCCCCACCGAGTATACTCAGGGTGGAAAGCGTATGTGATTGCTGGTACTACAAAATGACCTGTTTGTATATGTGCAGCTATCCATGTATTGTAGTGTAGGACCATCTCCGGTGGTCAGCCTGTTAAAGCCACTGCCTGTCTGGAACCACCACCAGCGCTGCTTACTACACTTGGCGCTAGCGCCTTGACGTGAGGGCGTTAGATCACTTGCTACACTTGTGAGATCGTTAGATCACTTGCTACACGTGTGAGGGCGCTAGATCACTGGCAGGCAGTCTGTGTTTGTTCATGATTTCCGCATGATAATAAATACTTGCTAAGCAGTTTACCTGGTCTTTTTGTTATTGTTTGCTAATGTTTCTAATGTTTCATTCAGTACAACTGATGTTTAAGTCAACTGATAATGTTTCTGATTCCATAACTGACTGTCAGTACTACTGTTTCAGTCAGTAATGCTACTGTTTCAATCAGTACTATTCATGTTTCAGTCAGTACCGCTGCTGATTCCGTCAGTACTAATATTTCAGTCAGTATTGCTACTGTTTCCGTCAGTACTACTAATGTCTCAGTCAGTACCGCTACTGATGCCATCAGTACTACTGATGTTTCAGTCAGTACCGCTACTGACTGTCAGTACTACTGTTTCAGTCAGTACCGCTACTGTTTCCATCAGTACTACTAATGTTTCAGTCAGTACAGCTACTGATGCCATAAGTACTGATGTTTCACTCAGTACCGCTACTGACTGTCAGTACTACTCATGTTTCAGTCAGTACCGCTACTGATGTTTCAGTCAGTACCACTACTGATGCTGTCAGTAATACTAATATTTAAGTCAGTACCTCTACTGATTACATCAGTACTACTAATGTTTCAGTCAGTCCTGCTAATAAGTCCATCAGTACTCATGTTTGTCCGTCAACTGATGTTTCAGTCAGAAGCTTCAGATTCTGTTGGTACTCCTGATGTTTCCGCTAGGATTGATACAGATTTCATCAGTTCTTCTACTGGTTCCATTGGTACTGCTGATGTTTAAGTCAGTACAACACTCAACATGATATATACTTTACAGAACATTTAAGTCAGTACCACACTCAACATGATAGGTACTTTACAGAATGTTTAGGCCAGTACAACACTCAACATGATAGATACTTTACAGAACATTTAAGTCAGTACAACACTCAACATGATAGATACTTTACAGAATGTTTAGGTCAGTACAACACTCAACATGATAGATACTTTACAGAATGTTTAGGTCAGTACAACACTCAACATTATAGATACAGAACGTTTAAGTCAGTACAACACTCAACATGATAGATACTTTACAGAATGTTTAAGTCAGTACAACACTCAACATGATAGATACTTTACAGAACGTTTAAGTCAGTACAACACTCAACATGATAGATACTTTACAGAACGTTTAGGTCAGTACAACACTCAACATTATAGATACAGAACGTTTAAGTCAGTACAACTTTTCCTCGCTCACTTTTACATTTTCGAAAAAGGCGAATGAGCATGGATGAGACAAATTAGTTGTCGATGCCTCTATGCCTTTGAAGTAAGAAGGATCACGTGATGACACGTGTCAAGTGAAGTTGCAGGTGTTCAGTCAATCTGTGTGATAATGATTCAAAGGGTCCAAAGTTACGTGTTGATGGTCGTCACATTATGACACAGTGAGGTGCATCACTTCAGGCGATGTCCTGGTCTCATTTGTGCTCAACAGCTGGAGGCTGGTTTACACAGGGTGATTGCAGTGAAGGCTGTCCAGGTAGTCACTTGCTTCCCTGTCTTTACAAGGCATGCGGTTGGGATGGATACTATGCAGGATGGGTCAGAATGGATACTTTCAGAACATGTCACTTGATGAATACTTTACAGAACATGTCACGTGATGAATACTTTACAGAACATGTCAAGTGATGAATACTTTAGGAACATGTCACATGATGAATACTTTACAGAACATGTCACATGATGAATACTTTACAGAACATGTCACGTGATGAATACTTTACAGAACATGTCAGGTGATGAATACTTTACAGAACATGTCAGGTGATGAATACTTTAGGAACATGTCACATGATGAATACTTTACAGAACATGTCACATGATGAATACTTTACAGAACATGTCACATGATGAATACTTTACAGAACATGTCACTTGATGAATACTTTACAGAACATGTCACTTGATTAATACTTTACAGAACATGTTACATGATGAATACTTTACAGAACATGTCACATGATATATACTTCACAGAACATGTCACATGATGAATACTTTACAGAACATGTCATGTGATGAATACTTTACAGAACATGTCACAGGATGAATACTTTACAGAACATGTCATGTGATGGAGACTACAGAATATGTCATGTGATGAAAACTTTTCAGAACATGTCACATGATGAATACTTTACAGAACATGTCACGTGATGAATACTTTACAGAATAAGTCACGTGATGAATACTTTACAGAACGTCACATGATGAATACTTTACAGAACATGTCACGTGATGGAGACTACAGAACATGTCACGTGATGAATACTTTACAAAACATGTCACGTGATGGATACTTTACGGAGCATGTCACATGTTGAATACTTTACAGAACATGTCACGTGATGACTACTTTACAGAAATGTCATGTGATGAATACTTTACAGAATATGTCACATGATGAATACTTTACAGAATATGTCACATGTTGGATACTTTAGGGACCGACCATTGGATATTCTTAAAAACAAAAACATCCCAGAAAATGCTTGAAAAATATAACTATGCTTCTGATCCTGAAAAAAAGTTGTCTGCCACAAAACAAATACAACTGCAACACTATTCAGTCACTCAGAAACCGCCATTTAATTATCCAGAGATGACGTAAGTTGACAGGTTGCCAACTCAAACATATATACAAATTGTAAGGTACTTTAACCTTACGGTAATCTAACCTTCCTTGGACTATCATTAGTACTGACGCAAACACATAGTCCGAAAAGTCAAACCGCCTGGAGCGTTCGCAAAATTCCCCCAGAACTAGCCGCTTTGTAGTCGAACCATTCGGAAGAAACTCGGGATATATCTGAATACAGAGACAATTCTCCCATTCGAACGAATATCTGGTACAGCGTTAGGTGTCCTTTGTGTTTTCTTAATATGCTTCTTGGTTATCAAAAATTTCAAGTTTGGCCAATTAAGGCCATTTGGCCCGGAAACAAGCTTAAAGAACATAGAAAACAATCGGGGGATCAAAGACACGTGAGAAGCTAAGCACCGAGTTAAGCCGCTAGCCAGAAGCAATAACTCTCAATAATTTCCAAAAAGCACAAGCTTCATTACAGTCCTCCGCTCTCGTCATTGATTTACACATGTTTTTTGGGGGGTTATCAAATATTCACTCGCAGGCGATGACCATGGAGGTTAGAAGGGAGAAGTGAAAAAACGGAATCAACAAAAGAAACGAACAAATATCGTAGTTAGGTTTCAAGTAGCGATTTGAAGAAAACTTGTACAGTGGGACCCCGTTTATACAGATACTCCGCTATCCGGACGATTGTTGATTGTTGTGGGAACGTTTTTATATGATTTGAAGGCATTACGTACCTGTGACTCGATAATCCAGAAATTTATTCATCCGGACACTTTGACTAGGATTTTCCGGCCGGATTAACGGGGTTTTCACGGTTCAGGACGTGTTACCGTCCTTATAACGAAGGTCATGGTCAACACAGGAGTTGAATCTGTCCACGTGCGTGGAAATATGACGAACTTCGTGTACATATGAATATATACCTGTAACTCCGTGAAAATATGTTGAACTTGGTGGAACTCCGTAGAACACCGTTTACTGTGAAACCTCGTTATTTCGAACGTCATCGTTGGCATTGAATGGACTCACGAGTAATAGATACACAATGTCCCAACAGCAATATTGAAAAAAAAAACACTGTTAACATCTTGTTCCCATGTGGCCAATAAAGCTGAAACTTCACATGTTTTTTCTCACCAATGATGACACCCCGATCTGTTCACGAGGTTCGAAACCAATTTCCAATATGGCCGTCACGGCAGCCATATTGGAATCCTTATGTATTGCCATTATTCGGCCATTTGTGTACAAAATGTTATGACATTTGGTATTTGTTTGGTTTCTTGTGGGATTTACATCGTATGTGCTGGTGTTTTCAGCAAAATTGAAAAAAAACCCACCTGATTTGACATGATCATAAATTCTCTCAAAATGCATTTTTTCACTGTAAAACATCTCTTATATTGCCAGGCTGAAGGAGTTAAACCTTAGCATGTATCTTTCTCGTTATGAAGACATATATTGTTCAAATTAACTTTTTGCGTTGATTTTTGTCATAAGCTGTATTTGTTGACATTGTAAGCTGTTGGCTACATATCCCGTTAAGCGACACTTTTAGTGCTTTTTTTCATTTTTCTACGGTAAAAGTTCACCCTGTGGGTATTCCGGGATAAAATACGTCCCCAGCAACCTGTACGAGGCGACTGCATGGATCGGGCTGTCAGGCTTCGTCCCTGGTTGATGGCGTGTCATCGCACCCCGACTGCATGGATCGTTACTCATAATATCAATCACTGGATTGTTTGGTCCAAAATGGATCATGTACAGACCGCCGTCATATAGCTGGTCTATTACTGGGTGCGGCGTAAAACAACAATCAAATGAAGGCCATTTTTGCGACCGGGTTCCGTCTTAGCGCAAATGGGCACAACTAAAACAATTGTCAACTCGTTGCGTAATGGTTCACATATATTTCCCCATATATTACATATACTTCAGATGCAATTTAAAGCACATCGGGGCATGCGGAATTATACAGCATGATTAAACACATTTACGGAATCTTGGGTATATTTTTAGATGCAAGTCATATGTAAAATCAAAAAATATTTCTGAAGGATTCTTTGACGAAGAACTTGAAATCATACGCGCATTCTAACTGGTTTGTCGTATTTTCGCACATAACATTCATCGATGGGGGACGAGTCTTCTTGCAGGTTACGGAAAGGGGCGAGTGGTGACGAATGGGAATTTGGACAAAAAGTTCCCTTTAACGCTCGCCAAAACCATTATCATTGGAACACCTTAAGACGCCTTGGAAGCTATTTGTAGCTTAATAATTTCGTAATGTTTCGGACCCTCCAGCATCGTTATTTTCTCCTGAACGCTCTTGTACGCCCACGCGTAATTGTGTTCGGCTTCGGACTGCGGGGTCTTCATGCAATCACGATTATTCGCGTCACTTGCTGAGGAAGTAAATTG